AGCTCAGTTTCTCTTTATATAATGTACCCTTAGTTGACAATTTCCTGCACTTTCAGAAGAAATTTTAAAGAGAAAGGAAGAAAATTTTTCAATTAGCAATCGCTCCTCGGATAAACCTCATTGGCTACGATACTGCCACTGTGCAAAGCTTGAAAGGAAGAAAATTTTTGAAAAATCAAGCAGAATATATTGAATTAAAGTAGTCTTTGGTTTCAGAAATTTCTAGAAGGTGTTGATGTAGTTTCAACCCACTTTTTCTCCAAGTCTAACATCTACAGTTTCCACAACACTATGACAACAACGGTGATCCGAGATTTTATAAGCTACTAACTCATCCCAAAGAAATTTAGTTTTTCTTATTTTACTAGATTTACTAAGACAGAAAAGTAGACTGAGGCATTATGGCAGCCTTTGGAAGGGATGCTAAAATGCTTGATCTGTCCTACTGGCGGGATAACAATGGTGGGAGATGCCATTTACTAGGCAATTCTGCCTCTTCAGTGGAGTGGGACAAGGGATATTTTAGCAGCTGAGTGACTACCTCTGAACAGGTGGAGAGGGCTAGATGGGTGCTCTGAGAACACCAGCTGCTGAATTTTGGACAACATGGTGGCTTGTACCAACTACAAGCCCTTATAGTTAGTAGGAAAGAGATAATAGAGGCAGCAATTGTCCCACATGCTAAAGGTAATTTACTAGTGATACTTATTTAATATACATGCTGAAGGTTGCCAATACTTAGTCTAGAAAGATGTTCAACAAGCATTGGAAATAGGGGTTCACATTAAACCTTGGGTTACTTGACAATCCCATCACCCAAATATTTGTACAACATCGATCCAATAAAGTATTTATCAAGTATCATTAGAGGTCATGTTCTGTGCGAAGTGTTAGAATGCCAGGACAAGAGAAAGATAAATGTTACCATTGCCATCACATTGTTTGCTGACTAGCGTGTGATGCAGACAAGTAAACAAGATGATATAACACAGTAATACGCCATGATAGGAGAAGTAACAGGGAGCCATGATAGTATACAGAAGGGGGTACTTAGCTTTTAGTTAAGGAGCCGGAGAGGCAGAGGCATCTACATGAAGGATGACTAAGCACTGGATGGACCAAAAGGATTGGGCAGGAAGAAGCATTCTGGGCAGAGGAAAAAAGCATATACAGAAGCTCAGAGGAAGATCATAAGGAATGTTTCATCTAGAGCATACAAATCTTGGGAAGAAGGAGAAATGGTAGAAATGAGGTTAGAAAAGGAAACAGAGTCCTGACATACAGGGTTTTATAAACATTTGGGCTTTATTATAGATGGAATAGAGAGCCATTGAAAGGTTTTCCAACAGAGAAATGATTTGATACGCATTTTAAGACAATGACTCTGGTGGCATTCAAGAGAATAGACCAGAGGGAGAGAATACTGGAGAGAATGAGAGCAATGGGGAGACTGTCGCAGAAGTTTATATACTAGAAGATGGTAGCGTGTATTTCACAAATGATGGCATTCTTAATAGTTGGTGCTTTTATAATCTTGCACACTAGACATTAAAGTTATTTATTCTTACTTTTATAAGATTAAAATGTTTGTTATTTTTAACTTTGTATTTCCCATTTTATAATTCTTTAAGAAACCATTCTTCTTTCTTCTTTCTTGTATCTTTGTTAATTATTATGTCTGTTGCTTCCTGAATATTCTCCTGTAAATGTCTTTTCTGCTCTTGACATGCATTTTCCACCTTTTGTCATTGTGATTTCTTTTTCTTTCTTTTCTTTCTTTCTTTCTTTTTCTTTCTTTCTTTCTTTCTTTCTTTCTTTCTTTCTTTCTTTCTTTCTTTCTTTCTTTCTTTCTTTCTTTCTTTCTTTTTCTCTTTGTGGATTCTTTTTCAAACTTGAGTACAGAGTTAATGATGAGAGAAAAGTAGTTAAGATTCTAGTGAATAGATTTCAGTTGCCGCAACTAGGGATAGCCTGAGATTTCTTGAAAAGGACAAGTAGAAAAAAATTCAGTGGTTTTCAGCACTGGAAAGAAAGAATATAGTTTAAAGACAAACAATGTTCTTGGAGGGGAAGAGGCTTGCTGTACAGCAATCAATATAGTAGAACTAGAAAAGACCAACATGGATCAACCCCAAAGTGCAAAAAGTAATTAAGGGCACAAAAAGCACATAATAAATGTCAAGTACAAAACAGAAGCTGAGAAATTACAGAGTGAAGTTCAGAGTTTAAAAATGACAGAAAGACCAAAGATGGCAAATGACAAAAACATTTCATATAAGACTAACTAAAAGTGCTACAATATTACAACAATATTATATAGGACACTACAGGTCAGGAAACAGCCTAGAAAGGTGTCTAATGGGTAGCAAAGGTGAATCATTGACTGAGAGGGTCTTGTAGACATTGATTAAAAAAAGTCAGATTAAATGAATTCTTTGTCTCAAAGCTCTCAAAAAGCTCAGTCTTGCTAAACAGAGAAATCAATTTAAAATGAAAGAAGTAAAATTATTCTTTGGAAATGTTACCAACCAGTAAGTGGCAAAGAAATTGAGAAATTTGAATTCTCATATAGGACCATTTATGCTTTCTTTTAGGATTAGTGATGTTCAAGGCCTTTAGAAATCCTTTATAAAAACGTATGTTGCTTTTGTGTATTTTGTTCCCAAGTCACCCAACGTAGGCCATGTTTAATGCTTCCTTGGCTTTCTGTGTGTCAGAGTATGACACACCTGTCCCTTACCAGGTAAAACAGGAAAGGAAAACATCAAGAGGATGTACAGAAATCCTAGCAAAAGAACTTCCAACCTATTAAACTTCTTGGGGGGATAGGGGGAGGGAAAATGTGCTCATTATGTGTGTGAAGTGGAGAGTTGAAAGAATGGGAATTTCTCACTCTGGAAATCCTTTGTCTTAATTCCTTTGGGCTGCTGTAACAAAACTATCATGGACTGGGTGGCTTAAACAACAAGATTTATTCCTCATGGTTCCAGAGGCTAGAAAGTTCCTGCCAGAGGCCTGTTTGCCTGTCTCTTGGCTTCTACAAGAAGTCTTGTAGACAGCTGCCTTAGAGTTTTGTGTGTGTGTGTGTGTGTTTGTGTGTGTGTGCATGAGAGAGGGAGAGAGAGAGAGAGAGAGGCAGACAGGCAGGCAGGCAGGCAGACAGACAGATGGACACACAGACTAATCCCATCATGAGGGCTTCACTCTCATGACCTAATTACCTCTCAAAGTCTTCATCTCCAAATGCCATCGCTTTGGGGATTAGGGTTTCAACACATGAATTTGGAGAGGACGGAAGCATTCAGTCCACAGCATTCTCAGAGATAGAAATTTTCCAAAGAGAGAGAAATTATTCTTTTAAAATTGTATGTTAAAGGCAGGATTCAAAGAATGGGTAAGCCTGATGAATTTATGCTCTGTTCCCATTACGCTTGGGGAAACAAGGGCCACAAAAGATGGAGTAGGTGGAGAAGGGGGCAGCACCTGAGGGGTGAACAGGGAGGCAATGGAAATAAATCACAGGAACTGAGGGGTGTAATGGCAGTGGAACACGAAGAGCTGGTCTGAGCCCTCAGGAGGCTGTCATGGGTTCTCCAATGCCATGCAACCATTATGTATCTGGTGTGGAAAGACAATGGTCAACCCTGGGATTGTTAATTATATTTCTCTTTTTTTAAGGATTTTATTTATTTATTTGACAAAGATAGAGAGAGAACAGAAGTTGGCAGGGCAGCAGGCAGAGTGAGAGGGAGAAGCCGGCTCCCTGCTGAGGAAGGAGCCTGACATGGGGCTCGGTCCCAGGACCCTGGGATCATGACCTGAGCCGAAGGCAGATGCTTAACCAACTGAGCCACCCAGGTGCCCCTAATTATATTACTTTAAATGGAATTATATGACTTCAAATGTAACTTCTAAATTTTCCCTTAATTTTATATTTAAATTTATTTTCTGAATATCCAGAAAGGTTGAAAGAATAATACAGTATGAACACTTGTATATTCATTCCCTTGATTCAACAATTGTTCCTATTTTGCCATATTTGCTTCATATAACTATTTGTGAGTATGTATATTTTCTTCTGAATGCCTTGAAAATTAGCTGCAGACATTGTGATATTCACCATAAATGTTTTATATAACCACAATATTATCAACACATTTAAGGGAATTAAATATATATATAATGAGATAATAACCAAGTTATTTTCAAATTTTTCTAATTGTCCACAAATGATTTTTATTTTTTATTTTTTTTTAAAGATTTTATTTATTTATTTGAGAGAGAACAAGAGAGAGAGCATGAATGGGGGTGGTGGTGGGGAGGGGCAGAGGGAGAGGGCGAAGCAGGCTCCTCGCTGAGCAGGGAGCTCCATGTGGGGCGCCATCCCAGGACCCTGGGATCATGATCTGAGCTGAAAGCAGATGCTTAACTGACTGAGCCACCCAGGTACCCTGACAAATGCTTTTTAGATCTCTTTTTTAAAAGCCAGGATTCAAGTAAGGTTCAGAGATTATATTTGACTTTTATGTCTCTCCAGTGTCTTTTAATCTAAAAGTCTCTCTTTCTTTCTTTATAACTTTTACTTTTTGAAGACATTGCAGGACAGTTGTCTTTTGGAAGTTCCCACATTCTGCATTTATCTGATTTCTCCCATTTGGTGTTGTTTTCCTAGTTCTTATAGTCTCTGGATTTCCTGCAAAATCAAAGTAAATCTAATAGCTTGGTTAGATTCAAGCTAAACATTTTTTAGCTAGAATATTGTGCAGATGATGTCCTTATCTCATATTGTGTTACTAGAAAAGGCATGTAATGCCAGAGTTTCTACTAAAATTACTTTATTTGATAATTTGGTTAACATGATAATCACCAGATCTCTTCATTGTGAAGGCATATTTTTTTTTCTCTTTACAATTAGCAAGGACTCTGTGGGATAATACCCTGAAACTTTGTGAATAACCAATAATCTTTCACCGAAAGATTTTATTTTATTTTATTATTTAAAAAATATGGAATGCTTCACAAATTTTCGTGTCATCCTTCTGCAGAGTTCATGCTAATCTCTGTATCGTTCCAATTTTAGTATATGTGCTGCAGAAGCGAGCACTCACCTAAAGATTTTAAGTGTCCAACAATACTCCTTGCCTGAAACAATTATATCATTAGGAATTGTAAAAGTTGTGATTTTTGTAATTTATATATAATTTCTTCTATATTTATTAGGTGGCATTCTTCCGTGAAGAATAACTTTCCCTCATCCACTGATCCTTGTATTTCTTTCTAAAGAAGCGGGACACCGTTATAATTTAAAAAAATGATTATAGCAATTTTGCATATAGAGAAAAATAAACCCAGCTGTAATCTCAACAGCTAGTAAACCAGTGTTAACAATTTGGTGTTTCTTTCCATTCTTCTTTCAAAGCCTATAAGTATATATATTACAAAATTTGATACATAAGTTTTATATCCAGCCTTTTATAGTTAGTATTATATCATTTTATCAGTTCACTATGCTGTTAAATATTATTTAAAGTATTTTTGCTGGCTGTCTGCCCTCTCATAATTAGGATGTGGCATACTTTATTTCCCTATTCCCTTACAACGAGGGGGCCATATAACCTCGTTTGTCCAGGGCAATTCTTATTGATGACTGTTGTCTTTGCAAAATTATTAAAGCACCCCCTTTTATTCCTGGAGTCATCTCAGTTTGGAAGACAAATTATATAGTCACCCTATCATCACTGTACTTGCAATTGACCATTTGCTGTTTTTAATTTTCTAATCTATTTATTCTTGCATAAATCTTTGGGTGCATTTCTTATTATTTCATGAGGATAAATTTCTAAAAGTCCTGCATCAGGCTCCCTGCTCAGTGGGAGTCTGCTTCTCCTTCTCCTTCTGCCCTCCACCCCCCCCGCCCCGCTGCGCTCTTGCTCTTTCCCTTGCTCGCTCACGCTCAAATAAATAAAATCTTTAAAAAAAAAATAAATGTACAGAGTAATAGCAGCATTCTCCTTATCTAGCTTATTTGTCTTAAGCTGTGAGTTTTTGATAAAGAATTGCCTATTTAGCCTACTGGGAATAGTAAATGGTAAAAGTTTCTTGTTCAAGGTTACATAACCAAAAACAATTGAGTAGGAATTTGAACCTAGATCTGTCTGTCTTCAGTCTTATCCATGTGTCCTGCTGCCTCATGTAAGCACTGCCATCATGTACCCACTATTGCTAAATAGGCAAACAATGGGAAAATAAATATTTTCTCTCTGTGAGTTTTTAGTAATCATTTGGGATCTGTTTGATTGTTGCCAAGGTAATTCTTTATTTATTTTTATCCTCTGTAAATGGGATTGGCAGTGTGAAATCAATGTATCGAAACATGCAGTTTAGGTCCTGGTACACAGTGGGTACTCGATCTGTACTGATTTCCACCTATACTCACATTGGGTTATCATAACCATCTGCTAATGGGTCTGTGCAGGGCTTAAAGGAGAAGCAAACGAAGGGGGACCGATTACCTCTCCCTCTTTCTACTTTCCAAAGCTGCTCTCTCTGCTTTCCCTCAATGTTGATTCACACATTGAAGAAGGGAACAGGAGTCAAACAGACTCCAGGGCATTGACAAGTGAGAGAAACACAATTTAAGTCACTGCAAACGATGTTGATCCCTCTTTTTATCTTCTGTTTCAAAAGCTGTTTGTTCAGAATAAGAAAGCCATCTTCAAGCTGTGGAAATAGAACACTGCATATGTGGCTTAGTTCCAGCTTGTTTGGGGACAGGTTCTAACTCGGAAACACAGGACTAGTGAGTGGGGAGAGGACAGACTGGGGAGAATATCATCCATAGATACTTGCCAGAGTCACTCCACCACTGCTGCCAAGTAAGCCTGAGCGACGGCGGGACGGTAGGAGGAATCTGGCTGACTCTTCTCTCCTAACACAGAAGAAGGAGGATTGGCTGGAGTTTAGCAGCTAAATTCAACTTAGAAGCTTAACTATGATCATTTCAGGAAGCATGGCTGAACTAAGGCTAGTTTTATTTAGGTTTTTCTTATTCTAAATAGTGGACTGCTGTGGAGGTTCTTGCAAGGAAAAGCAGAGAGACACTATGACAGAGTCACGTTTCCTCCAGAAGATACTAGACCAGGAAAGAAAAAAGAGTGGATGTGAAAGACAGGGAGTTCTCATCTATTCTTAACCTATTCTTAACTTCAAAGTGTGACACTTTAGGCTTTATAGTATTCTATGGTTTTTAAAACATTTTCACAAATATTAGCTCTTTGACCATTGTAACATGGCCTCAAGAGGCAAGTCAGGCAGATGTCCACATCTCAGAAGAAGAAATGAAACATGGAGAAATTGTGATTTTCCCCAGTTTTACAGAATTAGAGATGACAGGGGATCCTTGACGCCTACATCAGTGAGTTCTGCATTCCACCCCAATGCTTATATTGTTCCAGAGATTACACCTTTTCTCTGGTCTTAGACTTTTTGTTTTGTTTTGTTTTGTTGGCTTTTTAAGCTAGTCCATTTGTGAATAGCTGTTAAAAGAATGATTATGTGATTGCCTCCCCCAACTTCAGTGCAACATTTCAGAGTGTGCCTACCATGTTGTCTGAAATTTGGGTGTACCGCTACTCTCTGTTTTTGTTATCCTCTTTTGTGTCCTTGTGTAAGGCTGAGCAGAGTTTATTGCTGTACATATATCACATTTGGAATTTATGATAGCTTTCTGTTAATGGGTTGGATATTATTGTGTTTCAACCTCTGTGACCCTATGTCAGGACAACTCAGCTTGGGGATATATTGCTGAGTTGTAATTTAAAAACCCTTGGCCATTCTCTCTGTCAAACAAACTTGAACATAAAACAGTGTTGTATTAAATAGGATGGAGTTAGGATTTCTTTTTCAGTAAACAATGGATATTTGAAAAACAGCATATGCTTAAAATAACATGTGCACGCGCTCTCTCTCTCTCTCCTTTTTTCCCCCTTTTAGATTGGTCACAATGTATGAAAGCATAATACAAAGTGGGAAATGATCTCTTTTAGTTATCATGGTGCTATTTAAAAAAAAATCTTATTATATTTTGTTTACTGGAAATAATAACATCAAGCACTTATGTCTTAGTTACTTTTTAAAAATTTTAATTCCAGTATAGTTAACATACAGTGTTATATTAGTTTCAGGTGTACAATATAGTGATTCAACAATTCTGTACATTACTGGATGCTCATCATGATAAGTGTAATCTTAATCCCCTTCACCTCTTTCACCCATCCCTCCACCCACCACCCCTCTGGTAACCATCAGGTTGTTCTCCAGTTTAAGAGTCAGTTAAGAGTTACCAATAACTTTCTGTGGTTATAGTAGATATTGTTTTCTAATTTTCTAACAAATGATTTTTTTTAAAGAATAAAAAACTGCTTCTATCAAATAACTCCTAAGAAAACAACTTTAAATCATTTTTTGTTTGTTTCTTTCCAGTCTTTCTCTGTTTTTGTTATTTTATTCCTTAATTTGTTTAAGAAATATTTATTGAGTACACAATATGGATCAATCACAGTGCTGGGCACTGGACATATTGAGGTATACAAGATAAGTAGCTTAACGGTTGTTGATAGAATGGGTAATAATAGGGGTGTCTGGGTGGCTCAGTTGGTTAAGCATCAGACTCTTGGTTTCAGCTCAGGTCATGATTTCAGGGTCTTGAGATCAAGCAGTGGGTCAGGCTATGCAATCAGCATGGAGTCTGCTTGAGATTCTCCCCCTCTCCCTGTGCTCCACTCTCTCTCTCAAATAAATACATTTAAAAAAAAGAATAGGTATTGGGGCGCCTGGGTGGCTCAGTTGGTTAAGCGACTGCCTTCGGCTCGGGTCATGATCCTGGAGTCCTGGGATCGAGTCCCGCATCGGGCTCCCTGCTCGGCAGGGGGTCTGCTTCTCCCTCTGACCCTCCTCCCTCTCATGCTCTCTCTCATTCTCTCTGTCTCAAATAAATAAATAATATCTTTAAAAAAAAATAAATTAATTAAAAAAAAATTAAAAAAGAATAGGTATTAATAACCATGGTAGTGAGCGCTACAAATGAGAAGTGTAGGCTGCTGTACTCTACAGTGTGGACCTAATTTAGTTTTTCTAAAGAAATTATTTAAGGGGCGCCTGGGTGGCTCAGCCGTTAAGCGTCTGCCTTCGGCTCAGGTCATGATCTCAGGGTCCTGGGATCAAGCTCCGCATCTGGCTCCCTTCTCTGCGGGAGGCCTACTTCTCCCTCTCCCGCTCCCCCTGCTTGTGTTCTCTCTCTCGCTGTGTCTCTCTCTGTCAAATAAATAAATAAAATCTTAAAAAAAAAAGAAATTATTTAATATATACCTATGTAATGTATTTTAAATAATTGGGATCATATGATATATAAAATTTAGTATATTTTTTCTTAAAACTATATTGTGAATATTTTCCCATTTCTTTAAATATTCTTTGAGAATGCTCTTTCTTAAAAGATTATTTATTTCAAGGGGAGGGGAGTGGCAGAGGGAGAGAGAAAATCCCAAGCAGACTCCCTGCTGAGCGTGGATTCCCCAACACAGGGCTCAATCTCATGATCCTGAGATCATGACCCTGAGATCATGACCTGAGCTGAAATCAAGAGTCCGACGCTTAACCAACTGAGCCACCCACGCACCTCATAGAATGCTATTTTTAAGGGCTACATAATTTTCTACTGGATCTATATACCAAATTTATTAGAAATTGGAATATTTCCTGGAATTTAGACTTCTCATAAGCATCATTCATCCTGAGGTTTATAATGATCAAAAGCTCACATGTGGAAGCATATGAATTAATTTCTTTTAATTATGTCTGCCTTGTACCTTTTGCTTGAAAAGAATCAGGACTTAGAATTTATGGGTCCTGGAGATAAAAAGGTAGTTATAGCACTCCTTGCTTTAATAACCTCGCTGTCACTGCTTTACGATATTTGGGAAATCTCAGAGAATTGAAATAGAAGGGATGGCAAAATGATGGCTGAGCTCTCATGGCCCTTCTGGACTCCAAGTTGAGAGTTCTTCCTGGACTTAGTGTAGGTACTTAGCTGATTGTGGGGAACTT